CCAGTTTCAATAAAAGTGTTGTAAATAAACACGCGATGTGCCACAGACCACGGCTCCATGGCTACTAAAATGGCATCGCGGAACGAGTAGATATCAATCATCGTGAAAACATTGGCTCGACAGTGCTGCATGTAATAGTCGTTGCAAAAACACCATACTTCATTGCCGGACCCTGTACAAAGCATCGGTTTTGTGTGATTACCGCATACTGCGAGGATAAAACTTTGAGTTTAACCTAAAACGTAATTTCAATTTAACTCTCACCACCACATCATTTTTTCAATTTGTCGAATAAATATACAACACAAAAACACAAAACTAATGCTACAACTCACTATAAAACATGTCTCGGCTCTCTTACGAAGATACAGAACACTGAAGAACGGAACTGCAAATATATTTGTTTTTTAAATGACCTTTAAGCAGCTCTGTAGAACTTGAGCTATATGTATACACGAGATCGACATGTTATTATGATTTCATGATTATGAAACGATGTACAAAATTATGAAATCAAGGCAGTGGCCATTTTGAAAAACATACTTCCGCGCCATAGTACTAATTACGAAGGAACTTTCTACAATTTGCCTGATTGAAAAAATTTTACAACTTATTTTGAAGGAACATTGAACATTGATGTTTGAACTTAACTGGCTATCAACATGTAAGAGTCAAGGGATATTTCTCCAGTTGAAATAGTTTTTTTGGAATAATAATTCCCCTATTCACTCGTTACAAATCGTTCAAAGGCATCCATTTTTAGGAATGATATCTTACACGAACTTAAACTTTTGAGGCATGTTTAGATACTTGCTTTGTTAATTTATTTGGAATTAATTTCAGTTTTGGCATTCGAGTACTTCTGCACTCTGGCATATTGTACCTATGCATTCCGTTTTCAGCTTATTTATTCAAAATCATTAATTTAAATAATGCCGTTGTTCAGTTTTTATCGACAGTGATAACAGATCCATCCTTATGCAGCGTATCATTTTAGCTCGTTAACCCGGAGCAATTCTTCGTTCCGAATGGATTTGTTCTATCTTAACGAAAATCTGCAGCCTTGTTAAATTGGAAACAATTACTGCATAAGTGTTCAGTGATGACCTTCAACCTACATACCAGCAGCTTTGGTATTCGTCATTGTCGGAGCAGTCCGTTGGTCTTGCTTAAATCATTGTCGGTTAATAATGGTCTACCAGGTTTGTTTATCCAAATACTAAAATCTGGAATACAAAAGGGAAGAAACGAGATAAAACGTAAGAAAGGAAGGAAGGAAGGAAGGGAGGAAGCAACGGGAAGGATAGGTGTGCATTCTGTATCAGTATAGGAGAAACACTAAATCATACTCTATGAAAAATTTATCAACACAGTTTTCAGACTATTTTAATCATATTGTGGAAATTACACAATTCTGATGCAGGTAACTTTTGATCTTTTTTATCGCCCGTTGTCCTACAAGCAAGCATAAAACAGGTGTACACGGTTAGTCGGATGGAGGTAAGCAGTATGCAGCATTATTAATTCTCAAGTGCGAGTAGCCCACTGGCCAATCAAAACCACGTATGTTCAAAATTCTTCTTTATTGAACGATGTTTTCCAATAAATTGATTTCAATTGAACTTGAAGAAGGTCACCATTGGGACCGAAATGTCATTCAATAAAGAAAATTTTTGAACATATGTGGTTTTCATTGGCTAGACAAACATGAGGGATTAGTTGCTATTCACCCCGCTCTGATAAATTCTGTAAAAGATGGCACTTGTGCTGTTGTAATACTTTTCATTCTAGGTCAAACGTCAAAACGTGGTAACAAATAACAGCTGATCATTCAGTGGTACTCGAATGCACCATACCTTGCTTTGCTTTATACTTTCTAGCTATGCCGAGCTTTTGTTATTGCATGAAGCAATTACGAAAACCTTTGTATAAAGTCAACAATGGAACTAACGATATATAGCTACTAATGATCATGATCACGCTTTCAGTCGGCATTCAAATTTATTTTACTCAGAGATGACTAGTGTTGTCCAATTTGTTTCTAATCGGGGCAGAAGTTAAAACAAATTAGGATTTAGGATTGTAGATCGGCATAAAACAAACAAGGGTTTTAAAAAATTAGGGTTTACTTTATTGTGTTCCGCAACAATATGGTTTATATATTGATTATTAACATGGTCTAAATAATTATTTTTTTATTAAAATTATATTTTCTATAAATGGTGCCATTTTTTATAACCTACTTATAGAATTTACTACAAGTCATACTTAAGCTGGTTTTGAATTGAATTTCTACTTTGACATTCTTGAGTGACGAACAGTTTCGCCTCTCTGACCAAATCAAGTTAGCCTGGGTATTGGAGCTATAAAAAGAGATAACTTTTTAAGATTTGCAGTTTTGGTTGTCTTTGAAAATAGTGCGCCATTTTTTTAGCAGCGGCAAGTCTTTGTTTTGCACTGCTGCCTCCCTAATTATTTGAATTGACACACTTCAAAGCTGATCCATGTCGATGAACGTATCTGATCTAACTTTTAGATTTTCTTAACCACTGACGCTTAGGTGAATTAGTCGTCCTAGAGCGAAAATTGTTTAATTAGTCCAAGCTCTTGTCGTTCAGCTCGAATTTAGATATCAAACATAATCATCTTGGCCATCTCTAAATTAAACACACATCGCAGTACGTTCGCATCTGAGCGAGAGAACAAAATAAAGCTGCATCTATAGCGCTAGAGATGTGATCTTGATCATGGATTTAATAAATTTGTTTAGATTAGATGCAAATCGGGATCGAGATGGTTGTTAAAGAAGTGATATTTTCTATTAATGAAAGGCAAAGGCATTTTGTGTTCACATGTAACAAATATATCAGATTGTTAACTGAATGTATCCAAAGAACAACCTACGTGAAATATGTGTATCCATGTAGTCAACAAATACTTTGATTAGATAAAATTGAATGTATTGGAATAATTGGTGAATTCAATACGAGGTATTTTTAGTAGATATGATAAATCGTGCACATCCGCCATAATTCGCAAATCTGTTTATCGGTGGTCAGGTCATGAAAAATACAGGCGCGCTTGAATGTTTCTCATTCGTATGGAAAACTCATATCGATATACTATAACACTCTGTAAAGCTTATACCATATAAAAAATTGAAATATGTTCAGTGATATAGTGCATTTGTTGATTTGGCTTAGACATTGAACTTGCATAATGACAGACTGACAATAATAAACATAGTGAAAAAGAAAAGTGCGGTGAAATAAAATGGATGTGCCGGGATAGTAAACCAACTTCTTGTTCTTTTATTAAAAACAGTTTTCTTTTATTTTCCTGGGTTTCGGATAATTCATGAAGTATAGAAACACGACGAGCTATAAATACCTAGTATTATTCGTTCCCTATTTTTTGATATTATTTCTTAGGAAAAGATAAGCTAATTACTTGCTTACTACTGTACGTTCTCATTGCAATTTAAGTGCTTTTGAAAACGGATTTCTATTCCAACTACCTATTACTAAAATCCCCCTGCAGTGATACTAAACATTCTATAAGATGCTAGTAGAATTGGCAAAAGCTTATCTAAAAAGAATTCAAGCCAGGAAGCATCTGTGTAGTGGCTCATAATCATAACCATCTAGTGCAAATCCAGTAAAGGAGGATATTCGCACGACACTTATTGCCTCTTCGATAAATCGACGAAGCTCGGCGCGGCACAAGAGCAAACATCACGGTAACGGTTGTTTGCATTTAGGTAGGTATACAGGGTGATTCAAAGACAGTTTCAATACTTTTAGGGCAGACAGTATGTATGATGGCGTCAAGTAGGTTGACTCTGCACTCCCTAATCAACGTTGTCATCAATTCATAAAGGAATATTCTCACGACACTTATTGCCTCTTCGATAAATCGACGAAGCTCGGCGCGGCACAAGAGCAAACATCACGGTAACGGTTGTTTGCATTTAGGTAGGTATACAGTGTAATTCAAAGACAGTTTCAATACTTTTAGGGCAGACAGTATGTAAGATGGCGTCAGGTAGGTTGACTCTGCACTCCCTAAGCAACGTTGTCATCAATTCATAAAGGATTATATTTCGCCCAAGTTAGTCTCTATTAGTAAAAAGTTGGACACTAACATATACAATAAAGAAATTAGATGAATCATGCCAGTCAAAAAGGGTCATATAATTAGTCGATGGTCTCTACAGATTTGACAACATTGCGATCTAGCCAATCGCCCTATCTGAAACGCATAACTTGCAGCACCAAAAAATTGACATATACTCTCCCCCACATCCTATAACCACTAACATAGAATTTTTAACCGCTGCAAATTTTTTTCTGGAAACGATTGGGGTCCTCTGAACGTTAAAAAAACGAAGTTAAACGATTTTTATTTTGTTGTTTTTTACCTGGACCTCCGCCGTTACTGGACCGATATTCGAAAACTACAAAGTTTTTTCGTCCTTGGATAGTAGTAATCTTTTGTGAAAACTTCATCAAAATCCGAGCGTTACTTCTCAAGTTATAAATGGTCCAAGGACTACCAGATAGACCGACAGACCTTCGGAAATAAGTGACATTGTTTATCGTGATGTACATAAACCTATCTCATTTTCCAATTTTTTCGCGATTACAATACTTCCTCGCCCAGTAGCGTAGGAAGTAAAAAAAGAAACATGTGAAGTTTTTGTAAATATGGCTCCTTTTACCGAGATATACGGTATTCAGGTTATAACTTCAAAATCGAGAAAAAGTTATCTCCAGAGATAACAAAGGTATCCATTCGGAATTTTTAGTCAATTTCATCGGCCAAGGTTTTGTATAATCTTCTTTGTAACGCTTGAGCTCTAATCTTGTTCACAATTTTTACAACCAATTTCATAACGTTGTTCAGTTATAGAAAATATTCACATAATGCTTGCTGATGGATAGTGCAGTGGTAACCGAGAAATTGCAGAAAACATTCATCTTTACGACAGAACCCCAGGGGATCCTTATCACGAACCACCATAGCTGAAACGCCATCGGTTGTCAAGTCTACCATTTTCGATATTGGAATTTTCTCAGAAGAAATAATATTTTTAAGAGAAGAAAACAAGTCCCGCCCTGTAGTCCTTTTAGTGGAATAAACTTCAAAAGATCTTTAATCGTAAAATCACTAAAAATCATCCTGACGAACACGGCCATCTGAGAGGTGTCAACGACATCTGTGGATTCGTCCAGCTCCAGTGAAAAATAGCACAGTGATCGAAGTCATTTCTTAACTGTAAAACTATATCATTGCTCATTACTTCTACTCGTCTCATTACTGTATTAGCAGAAAGTTGCATTGATTTTATAGTAGAATCTATCTCGTCTTTATTTCTAAAGTTGGTAAACAACGTCTTTATTTCTAAAGTTGGTAAAGAATGAATCTGCAGGTTCTAAAAACGCCTGTACTATCACTTCTCCGTTTTCATAAGGTTTCTTCTTTTGTGTAATTATCTGGGACACCCGGTATGATGCTTCAGTTGCAGCCTTACTTTTGTCGATTGTTTTTAAAAACATTGTCAATTAACTGATTTTTTAATTGTTTCGGTTTTTCCGTTCTGTTTGCAGAACGTAACGGGAATGATTGTTTAACTTCAAATATACAGTTTTTTAGTGCCTCTCGATATTCCGTTTTTTACCAACGGAAACAGATCTACGTAGTCGTGCCATAAGTTCTGTCCCATGATAATCTCATGATAAAAATGAAACAAGATAAGATATATTTATATGAAAGATATTATTTATTCGACAACATTTTTAGAATTTATAATCAAACAGTTTTATTCAAAATGTCCCCCCTTGGCCTTCACACACTGCTTCAATCTCGCGGGCCACTCATCTATCACTGCACGCACAGCTTCCAAAGGAATAGCTGCCGCTGATCGGATCAAATCCGCTTTCAGGGACTCGATATTACGGTGGGCTTTGGAGCAGGCCAACTGCTCTAGCAGGTCCCACAACTTGTAGTCTAAAGGATTGAGGTCCGGACTCCCTGAGGGCCAATCTTCCGCAGCAATGAACTCTGGCACATTGCTTTCCAGCCAGCGCTGCGTACTCTTAGCCTTGTGAGCGGGGGCGGAATCCTGCTGGTAGACCCAGTGTTGGTTGGCAAACAATGTACCACTTAAAGGCTTGACGATAGGATCCAGTATGTCGCTCTGATAGTTTGCCGCTTTTGTTTTCACGCCCTGTTTACAGAAATGGAGCTGAGTGACCCCTTCGTAGGACACCCCCCACCAAACCATGACTGACGCAGGGTGGTGGCCTCTCTCAACTCTCGGAATGATCTCCGAAGCTTCCTGTGAACTCCTTGCATACACTTTGTCATTTTGTCGGTTGAATTTTTCTTCTATGGTGAAGATTTTCTCATCCGTGAACAAAATCTTTCGGAATCCCCCAGCTGCGTACCTCTCCAAGAGCTTCTTTGATCTTGTCGCCCTGATGTGTCGCAAGGTGGCCGTAAGTCGCTGGCCCGTACGTCTCCGGTAAGCCCCTAGCCCTAGGTCTTGTTTAATGATGCGCGACATCGTCCGGACAGGAATCTTCATTTCCCTTGATAGGATCTTCTGCTTCCGGAGTGGATTCCTTTGAATCCTGGCTTTTACGGCTTTGATGGCTGCTGGAGTCCTTACTTGACGAGGTCTTCCGCTTCTTGGCCTGTCATCAACAGAGGACGTCTCATTGTACCGCTGAATGGTCCTAGACACAAATTTACGCGATATTTGAAGGCCGCGTAAGAGTTCAAAAATCTGACTAGCACTGTGATTACACTTATGTAAAGCTATCACTGCAATACGGTTCTCTGCCTTGCCCCACTCCATCGTTATGCTTCGAGAGATCAATACAAACTGAGGTATATGTAATTACCCGAAAAGCGCTTAATCAACTGACACCACAATGTAAACAATCGGACAAGTATTAACAGGTCTACACTTGTTTGAAAACGAGGGACAGAACTTATGGCATGACTACGTATTACATAACAAACATACATCTTTACCTTTAACTTCTGTAAAGAAATATTGTTCTTACCATTCCGTATGGAAATGGTATGTCTTCATCTTCTTTCTACTGCTCATAATGTTTTTAATTGCAGGCCAACTCTAACCCGACCGCTGAACTTTGTGCCGTTCTATTTTAAACTGAGCGGTCAGTCGCCGCGCCTTGCGTATTTATGCCGTTCAAAGTAATCGAGATCGTTCTCGAATAGATCGCTCATGCTCAAGCTTCTATGATTTTTACACGTTTTTAAAATATGTTGTGAGCCACCAGAATTGCCTTTGCGAGCTACCGGTAGCTCGCGATCGACGGGTTGGTGACCACTGCGCTAGAGGCATAGGTCCGGTTTTTCACCTACTGGTTAACTTCTACTTTAGCTAGCTATGACTTGGAGGTCAACTATCAATTGTCTGTGTTTTATGCGTTTTATGATGTTCGGTATTTGAGTCTTCTGTCATCCATGACAACTTATGTCACTGTCAAGGATATTAGGTCAGACATTGCGATTTGATCACAACTTCATAGTCACCCCATACATGGTCCTCTGACTGAAGTTAACTGTCGCTTTAGCACATACTTGGCATTGGAAAACGCTTTTTCATAGTTATCTTATGGTTAGCAGTCAAGTTGCAGTCGACTGGTAATTGTGTAGCAGTAATTTTTCATATCGTACGGCTTATATGCACACCTGGGTAAGCTAATAGAGAAGATCGGGCTCGTGGTACGTTTCACATGAAGTTTTTTTTTTGGTAGACTACAAGTGTTGTTTGCTTTCTGTTGTCTGTCTTCAAGATCTATACCGTACCGATGATTGCTAATAGGCATGAAACGGAGATGTACAAGATTGGTTACAGAAACGAAAAGCACATAAACAACATAAAACTGATGTACGTTGAAGGTTGTTGGCACCTAAAATTGTTCACAGTGTATCATGGAAATATAACCGCCTCGTTACAAGGTTATTTGAATCACGTTTTTGTTAAATGCTCTGTCGGTACCATCAGTATTGTGGAAACTTAAAATACCCGGTGCCTCATTAGATTGTCATTTAATATAATATTAACTCTTCGTGTTGTATTTGTAGCTGTATACATATTTACCAATTTTTTTTGAATCACCCTATATGTCGGGCAATCCGTCACCGTCTTCACCACATCAAATTCAACTGCTCAATTGTGTTTGCTTTACAGTTTTACTACAGTGAACGATGGTATCCGGTACCACTACCCTAGTGACCTTTGAGCAGCTGGCGGAGTTCCCGCCTACAGCCTAAATCGAGATACCGTCTGACAGACAATTCAAGACAGGGTGGGCCAATAGTACGTGGACGGAGGATTATGGGTTTATCAGTACAGGTTTTCTAATTTCATCACTGGAGTATATACTGGATGATTCTAAAGGTTACAAATTAAAATATTTTCACTTGAATTAATACACTTATACAGGGTGATTCATATCAGAGTTATGTTTTTTAATCGAACCCCTGTCTATTATTGCATATTTGGATTCCTCGATCAATTTCAGTGTGACTTTATGCACTATATTACCTATTTTACCAAAAGTAGAAGTTAGAAAACAATTGAATATCAGGGTCATTATAAAACTTAGGAGTCTCTAATAATACAGACATTCATCAAGTTAATTGTGGAAGAAACGGAAAAACATTTCTCCATTGTACATGATATACACAACACCAAATGTGTCTGACGGCTTGAGTTTAATGTGTACGAGAGAGAAGTGTGTATAGACACATACATATGTTAGAAAGAGATAGCATCTGACGCGTCGTTACATAAGTTACTTGAATTAAGATGCATATTGAAGATATGCGTTAGTTTATTCTTTACGCCCAAAAAATGGTTTTACGCTGACCGTACACATTGTTAAATTACGAATTGTGTCGAATCTGTGTGGGACTGATTCCCGTCCGGTCCTAATGGCGCTCCTTTTTGGGTCTAAATTAAAGGTCAGGATCGCCACAAATTCTGCAACGTTGCATCATTAGTTCGTATGATAACACCACATCTTGTACATCCCCAGGCAAGGTTTCTATATCCAATATCATAGTTGAGCGATTTTGGTCAGTCCCATCTAGCGCTCGTATGGTAGTATGGTCCTGTTTCGAAATGGCTTTCACCTGAGTATACGCATGCAGTGATAATTTACATTGCGTAACGTTATGTATTACATTTTGCGGTAACTCAGGATGTGTTGATTTTTTGCACCATCGGTTGCAATAAAAATTAATTCTAAAATAAATTAATACACTAAGTCGCATCAAACTTGAAATAAATATAATAGTTATAATCTAAATGAAAACAAAATATCAAATGCTCGAACAGACCTCAGTCTTGAGTTTGACAGTTAGCTAACCTTTTGTAGCAGTATATATGTATATATATATATTCTGGATGGAAATGATTGGAGTTAAGCGGTGGCATATTGATCAAAAATTAAAATTCTACTGCATTGGAAGCAGTGGGCGTTTTTAATGTTTCTAAAATCTCGTCGTTTGTTCAAATTTTTTCAGCAAGGAGAAGACCGCAGTTGACGAGATGGGAGAGATTAAACTTATAATGCTACTGCTTCGTTTGTTTTTTGTTTACTGTTGTCAAGAGCGTCGCTTGTTTTCTTTGTGTACCCAGTTTTAGCATGAATAGCAAATTTTATTTTTTGTTTACCTTCTTAGAAAGATATAAAATCTCACACACTGATGTTTTATAGCAATGTAGTGTATTTCAACAAAATATTGTAATTATTTACTGTTGCCAAAATTACCATTATTACCGAACCTGGAAAATTTCGGTATCTGTACCAGGCATCAGATATGAGATAAAACCAATTACACCAACCCCCACGTATTTTTCTTGTGCTACTTTTTCTCTGTTCGTCCCTAGTCCGCATTTAATAAGAGCTTCGCGTCACTCATGATATCTCTAGCTAGTCTGATGTTTTGCTCCACTCGATCGCTTGTTTTGGCGTAGTACGAGTATATCTTTCCCCAAGAGAAAAACAATATATATCTCAATTTTCTAGAAAACTAAGGTAAGCAATATTAAGTGGAAGTTACGTTACAGATTAAAATAGTTATTTATATATATATATATATATATAGGTGTAAATGTATATATAAGGGCTTATTACGCCAGATATAAGAATTTAATCAAGACTAAAGTCAGCTTTCAAGTGGTATTAAAAATAAATAAAGTCACTGTACCCTTGTAATACCGGTAGTTGAGTTGTTTCTTAGCAAAAAAGAGAGAGAAGAGAGTTTTCGGAGTCATCATATTGAGTTCAGCATAGGTTGACCAAAATAGCGGGCGGTAAAGTTATTTTGCCCCCCTAGAGCATTAAAGTTTCCATGGACGTAAAAAATAGTTATTCATGCATCTAGGGCATTTACGGCCCGTGGCGTGCAATTAGTGCGACGGCTGTGTACCCGCATAATATCAGCAGCTGATTTTTGAAGCCATTTCCTAGCAACAGACAGCTTGGCTGGCCCATGAGCATGGGTTAATTTGAATATATTTGGTCTAAAAGCTACTTGGTCGCCGTAAGGCACAAAGATTTCGTGAGCTGAAAATTAGGATTCAACCCTATACATAGTCTACCTATTTTTTACCACCTTTTCGTAAAATTGGATTTTTGGAACAATAAAATGAAATCATCAATAAAGCAAAATTTCAAGAATTACATGTCCTCTACGTCAAGGTTGAACATATTCCAAGTCCCAGCCAAAATACAATATGTCAATAGCGGGGTTTTTCCAGAAAGTACGGTATAACTGAACGAATCTGTGTTTTCTGATTTTAACCAAACAAGATCGGATGTGATCAACGTCGTGCGCAATATCGAAAGCCAATCATGTGGGTATATAAAATCCTTTTTGAATAAAAGCAGCCGACGAGATTGTTCCGTAGAAATGGTGAATGTGCGTTTACGGTTTGCAGACATAATTTTATGCTGGTTGTGCTGTAATCTAGACTTCCAACAATCACGAAAAAATTTCTAGGGAAAGAGTGATATTGGCTAATGGCATAGAAATTTTACAGGAAATATTCGCAGTGTAGCGTATTTATCTAGACCATCTAATATTTCTAAGTGTACCCTTTTCAGATTCAATTTTAGATAAAATTAGAGCTCTGAATCCAAAGTTTATCATGATTACAAGGTATATGGATTGTTTCATTCAATATAGTGGTCACATGCAGGTTTCATACTTTGTTACATTATTATTTTTTGTAGAAACTAGCTAGTATCACTGTGCAAAACAAGTTCAGTCGGTGAGAGTTCTGATGTGCCGTATATACGTATACATGTGTATAGCCATGCTTAATTTTCAGTGTTTCTCCAAGATTATTGCTAATATATTTTGTTGAACTTATATAACGTTTACTTATCACAAACATAAGAAACTGTTTTGTGTACATTGTGAGTTAGGAGGAGAGGAAGGGAGGATTTGAAGTAGGAACGAACGAAAGAATCTAATAATGGCTGCTGACAAACAAATAGCTGACCGATTTTTTCATTGATATTGTTGAATTTTTTCCATAAACACCTTTCATGTATTATTCATTGTAGGAAGCGACACAGACTTGAATAATTGCAATACTTTTGAATAAGTTGAATATTACACCCCTCTAAAAAATTAAACTTACAACTTCTGGGTCAAATATTTCTGCGAGGGGCATTTTTGAATGCTTGTATTTTAAGGCATGATACATCTTTCGGACCTTTTGGCGGTGGTTTTCTTAACCTGTGCCAATGCGGCCACCAAAAAACTATATTCCCCTGATAATGAAGAAAGGAAAAGTATTCAAAAGCAATAGAAACTACTAGCTGTAATAAATAGAGTATTTATACTTATAACGGGTGATTTTTTAAGAGGTATAGGATTTGATTTAAAAAAAAAAACACAAATAATTTGAAAAAACGATTAAATCTTTATTTGAGTCGATAGAACGGTCGATATAATTTAATGTTTAAAAATTATTTCATGTAAATGTTGACCGCGGCTCCGCTTTAGTTGGCCCATGCGCAAGGTCCAATTTTGGCACACTCTCTCCAACATATCGTCCGGTATCTCACGAATAAATGCTTCAATATTGGCTTCCAGTGCGTCAATTGT